ATGGGATCTGCTCTGGCTTAGATTGCAGGTACCAGCCTAGAGTTTGGGGCCATAGGGGCATACCTATTACTGGATTTTACTGAAGCAGGCTCTGTGTTGGAGTCCAAGGCAAAGTTCAGTGCCCACTTCCCTTTTCTTCTTCCACACAAAGATTGCCTCTGTCTGTGCTCTGCTGCCTGGTGTTGTGGGAGGGGTGACACAGGTAATGTGAAATTGTTCTTTCTATGCTCTTCAATTCATCTTTCCTTATTTCTCTGCTACACAAAGATTCTGTAACATTTCACCTGGTTTACTTAGCTCCTGTGAAGGTATTTCACAGGATAGTAGTTAAATTGCACAGCTAGTAGGTTAAATTGATGTTTCTGTATGAGGATAAGTGCTAGAAAGTCCCATTCTGACGTTTTGCTGATGTCCAGTTTTACAGCATCCACTTTTTCTATATAGTGATTTTTAAAGTGCCTCAGCAGCATCAGAGGCAGGTCTCCTGCTAATTTGGAAAGAAAGATGGCAGATCTCATGTTAAATGGTCTTATCAAACACAAACATACATACGCACAATAAAGATAAAAAATAGAGAAGACAAACCTTTTGGAGGTGATGAGTATGTTTATGACATAGGTTGTGGTCATACTTTCATGAGTATGTGTTCCTCTCTATATGCATCAAGGTTTATACATTAAACACATACAGCTTTTTGTATGTCAATCGTACCTCAATTAAGGAGTTTTACAAAAAAAAAAAAAAGATAAATGCAATACAGGAAAAATACTGTTGGCGTCATTCTCCATGAAGTATGACTTGTATTTCAGATTTCTGATGGTTACTGAACTTCCACATTTTCTGATGATAAGTATAATTAGAGAAATAATATGTTGGGCTAGAAAGGGGAAAAAAAACATTTCAGGATGAATCAATCAAACTTTTCCTTAACATAATAGAACTTGTTGTTCAAGATATTCAAACCAGTACCAGGCTAGAGGGAGAGAACAGTTTCCAGATCAAATATTTGTGTAAACTAATTTAACTGAAGTCTCAAGAGGAAGAAATCACGATGAAATATCTGGAGGCACAATATGCAAAATTCACCACAAAGCAGAAACCAGCATCTTAGAAAACAAAGAACAATGGCTTAGGATACAGAATGTCTGGGTTCTCAGTTTTGTACATGCAATCATGTCTCCACTTTCTAGGACTTAGTTTCTTGAGACTAGACAATCTCTAATATACCTCCCATCTGATTTTCCTCTCTTTCAGGAAGTTAGGCAGGTGCCCAGATCAGCTTTTTGGTCACAAAGGATAAAAAAAGAAGGCATAGGGTGTCTTTCTTAACCACAGTTTTAGGACACGGATTTAGAGAATGCATTAGCAGGGACTAAGCAAATAATGAAAGCTGAATTTGGGGTAGAAAAAATCGGGAACAGGAGATTAAAAAATCAGAAGGAAAATATTTAGGAGCAATAATGAGAGTCCCCTATTGATTCATAGTATAGCCAAAGTTTCTGTTTTTCTCTTCTTCAGACTCTAAGAGAACTAGAACATATCAGAGAGCTTTAAAATGTTCTAGGATGCCCAAACCAAGAAAGTATGTCCTGTGGATCCTACACCTTCCCAATTCCCTGATCTAACTAAAACCATATACCACTTTCTGATTTCTCTGGAGGCATTGAAACCTCATCACCAACCCAGAACAGTTTGGCGTGACTTGCTCTCTCCAGGAAGTACCTAAACATCCCCTTTCTTCCTCTGTAAAAGCTTCAAGATTCCACCTTGGTGTCAAGGTTTTCTCTACAGAGGCAGAATGTTGTTTATCTCAAACTCCAGAGACCCTCATCCTTTTCTGGGATCCATTTAAATTGGTGCTGTCAGTATTTTTGACCATAAAGGCAAGTCTCCACAAAAACCCTAGAAAGTTTTAAGATTTTATGGATAGGTGCCAACAGCTATCAGATGTCTTCCTAAGATGGCTGCTGCATCCTAGTTGCACATTGCTAAAGGTTAATGAAGAACATGGATATGAATGAAGCATCCCAGTGACCCTTGACCCATTGTTAGAGTACTCAGAGGGTGAGGCTCCACCAGCCTCCCATAGACCCACAGCCGTGCAGTCCCCATTCTCTGCCATGAACAAGAGTTTCAGGGCGTTACAGGGGTTCAAAGATGGCCAGCTCATTGCCATTTTGTAGTACAAAGTATACCAACAAATAAAGATAGACCAAAACATTGATAATAGTTTTAAAATGTGTATATTTTATAAATGAATGCTTATGATGACAAAAATGCCATGCAATACTATTGTTCTACTCACAAGAACATAACAAGAATTAAAAAACATTAATTAATTCAGAGTGGACTCTTGGCAGTGTGTAATTTATGGTGAAAGTGTTTCCTCCATTCTGTCTTGAGTTTCTGTACCATTGGGTGATAACGCTGAAATCTCAAATTTGGGACCCTCTCTGAAAGTGGGGCCATGCGCAAATGGCTCTCCTAGGTGTCTACTCCCCATGACCTCATGATGTACCTGCAGACTCCCAAACGACGGAAGAACATTCAGGGGTAGCCAGCTGGAGATGCCTAGAATCACAGGTCTCTCACACAGCCTGAAAAGCCCAAAGCAGAGTAGCATAACCTCAGCACCTGTGAAACCAGAATTCATTGCTTCCATTCACAGAGCCCATGTCTGTGCCAGAATCCAAGCTGCCATGAGTGTTTCGGGAAGTCACTTATGACTAATACTGAGTATGGTGGGACTGATATCAGAACTGAGCTAGGCCCAGAGAGTCTGAGGCCATGACACATAAGGCTAAACCTTTCCGTTTTGATCCACAGACTAGATACATCAGAGAAGTGGACTTGGAGAATCCCCTGCTGGAGTCCTAGAGAGTAACCACTCTGTCAGATAGCTTGTGTTTCTGAGAGGAAGGCGTCTAGTTCCAGCCTTATCCCACTGCACCTTATAAGCACGGGCTGAGTTCTAGAGAGACTCCAGAGCTGGTCTGAAAGTTTGCTCAGAACTGAAGTGGTCTAAGAAACTGCCAAGCTCAGCAGCCCTACAGATGGGAGAGGAGCCCACAGATGGGAAAGGAAGCTATTCTCCTGGCCAAGGTCCTGACACAGAGTTTGCCAGAAGAATAGGCAGATTTGAGGCAGACTGGAGCTAGCACTGGCACTGGATTGAAACCTCCCTTGTAGTCCCGTAGATAGTTTTTTGTATAAACATAGAAATTCACCTCTCTGGTCTTAAAGCTTGAAACTTTCATTTGTTTTATATGAATTTCTTCCTTAGTAAAGGACACCTACCTCCCTCAAAAAGCATCAAAGAATTGAAACTCATTAGATGAGCCCATTCAGACAATGGGACACCAGGCTTCTCATAAATTATGATTGCTTCCTTAGGTCTCCTGAGTTCCTGTTTTGCTACACATTGTTACATTTCTTCCCTGCTATGTAAACTCGTAATTTTAGTTGCTCAGGGAGATTGATTTGAGACTGAGCTCCCATCGCCTCTGCTACAGCATCCAATTCAGTCTTCTTCCTTGGCGGTGATATTGATTGGTTTTCTGTGCGGTGAGCTGCAGGACCTAGACCACACCCCTGGTGTTTCAGTAAGATTTTGGTTCTCCAGTCAGGAACACTTTGGCTCACCTGCCATGGACCAGGAGTCTCAAAGCTCTCCTAAGCAGCTACTTACCCAATGTTGGCTGGAGATGAGTTCTCTCTCTCTCCATGTTCCTGATTGCCTTGGAAAAACTGCCTTTGAAATTTGACATCCAGAGAGGTGACTGTCTTTTGTGGGCTCAGACAGAAGGATGTGCTCCTCTCAATTTGAGAAATTTTTAAAGGAATTTCCACTTGCAGGTTGAACAAGCCCAACTGATGAAGAGAGGGAAGTACCCTGATTGTTCCAGTATGGACACTCTTGGGGGCTTTTCATGGTATGTGTATCCAGGCAAGTGAGTGTCTTTTGTGGGTACCAGACAATGGGATCAGCTCCTCTCCATTTGAGAAATTCTGAAGGAATTTTCACTTACAGGTTTATTGAGTTTAACCAATGGAGAGATGAAGCACCCCAACTCTTTCAGTTTGCACACTTTTGGGGCTGTTTGATCCTGAAGCAGTTGCATAGTGTTTTAGTGACTGTTTGCATGTGTCTGTTTGCATAGTCATGGGAAATTAGAATTTGATAAACTGATACTCTTTTGTAAGACTGTTTGGCACCAGTATAGTTTGAATTTGGAGTTGCTATTGAATGAGAAAGCGGATTGAAATTCCATGTATCCAGGCTTCTGTGCTGCTGTTGGTCCAGGTTAGTATGTGGTGTTCTCCTGTGGTGCTGTTTGACCCGTGTTCTTTGGAGTCTGGAGAAGTTTGGCCTTTAAAGATTAAACTGCCACAGAAACGGCTTTACCCAAAATTTTGATTCACAGCCTTCAGTGGATTACCTATCAAGGTTAACCAAGTTCAGCCATGTGGACATGTTTGCAGACTGGTAAGTTTGTATTGCTATAGCTTTAGTTCCCAGGTAAACGCTATTGGGTCTTTGTGTGTATATGCATCTAGATGTGTTTATGTGTAGGCACATGTATTACGTTATATGTTGTCACTACAAAATTGGCTTATAAATAAAAGAGTGCTCATAGATTAAGTTAATAAGTCCAAAGTCTTTTTCATGTTCATGTTACTTAAGGACATCTTTAGCAAGCTATCATTAAAATTATTGTAAAATAAAAATAGAAATGTCTTCAGAATTGTCAACATACATTTTTGTCTGGGTTTTATATTTCTCACTGCTAGATATTTTAAGGCATCAGAGTTTGGCACAGAAGGTTATAAAACTATAAACAGGATTATGAGACCAGTATGGGAGGCAAAGATCCCCCCATCCAATAAAATAAAAATAAAACAATTAGCTGGGCACAGTGATTCATGCCTGTAGTCCCAGATACTCAGGAGACTGAGGTGGGAGGATTGTTTGAGCCTGAAAGGTCAAGGCTGCAGTGAGTCGTGATTCAGCCACTGCACTCTAGCCTGGGTGACAGAGTGAGACCCTGTCAACAAAAAATGAAAACAGGCAGAGAATGACAATGGGGCACAGGAGCATTGCAGAGAGACTAGGGGAGCAGTTGTAATTTTTAATAGGATGGTCAAAGGAGGCCTCATTGAGCAGGTGGCTTTAAGTGAAGACTTAAAGAAGGTAATAGAGGTTTCTCCAGGTCTTTTGAGAAAACAGAATGCAGGCAAAAGAAAAATGACAGCCAAGTGCCTGAAACAGAGTGGCCAAAGAGAGTAAGGTCATGGATGTGACTGGGGGGATGTCAAGGAGGTGACTGGAGTCTAAGTCATGGAGAACTTAGAGGGCTGTTATAGGGATTTATATCTCTTCCTCTGAATGTGATTGGGAGTTACTGCAGGAGTTGCACAAAGGAATGATGAAATCTGGCTTTTGTTTTAAAAGGAGCATTCTGGTTCTCCATTGATAAAAGACTAAAGACATTCTCCATCCAGAATACACTGCCAAGAACTGTGAAGCATCTAAAAGTTTGCCCTACTTGGGGCACTGTTTTGTAAATGCTGGCAGGTGACACAAACTTCCTGGGTCAAAGACACTAATTTATTACTCACTAAACAGGGAGAAAGATTTTTGTGTTTGTGTCCGTCCTCCTGGCTCCACAAGTCCTACAGAGGAAATACAGAAAAGCAGATTAATGTTGCAAATGCAACAGATGTGTGCGGCAGCCAAGGAACCCTGAATTTAGGGAGCCTAGATGTTTTATAATGTACTGCAAGCAAAGCTGTCTGAAGTTTGCTCCAGACACAGACATTATCTTTCTCATACTGAACAGTAAGCAAACCTGCCCTCCACTTCAGAAGAAAGCAATATCTCTAGCTTCCAAGCTGTCCTCTTTACAAACATCCTTGAAAAGTTAGCAGCAAAGGCTGTCATTGTCTCTGCTCCTAAAACATGCAGAAATGGGAGAGGTCATGAAGAATTTTCTCCCAACCAGAATTAGGAGGATGTCATAATGTATTGGATGTAAAGTGAAAGGGGAAAATATACTTAAGAATAACTCCAAGCGTTTTTATTTGAACATGTGAAAAGATGGAGTTGCCATCCACTAAGTTGAGAAAGACTACCAGTGAAGTGGTTGGGTGGAGAGGGTGGATAAGGAGTTTGATCAGAGACAAAATGAGTTTGAGATGGCTATTGGATGGAATTCAAGAGACGTTGAAGAGGCCAATAGATATATATGTTTTGAGTTCATAAAGGAGTTTGAGTAATAATATAAATGTGTTAGTCATTGGCAGGTAGATTGATTTTAAAGCCATGGGACCAGATGGGATAACAAGGGAGTATGTGTGGATACAAATGAGGACCAATGATTGGACTCCATGAAGTGATCCAAAATTAAGAAACTGGGTAGAAAAGAAGGGTCCACTGAGGAGACTGAGAAGAAGTAACCAGTGAAGATAAAGGAAACCAAGACGGTATTGTCTTGGAAACCAACTGAAGAAAGTCCATTAAAGGATGATCTTTTAAGATGAGAAGCAATAATTGACCATTGGATTTAATAACATAGAGATCACTGATGGCTTTCAAAAGTGTTTCAGTAGAATGGTACCAGGAAAATCTCAATTAGATAAGATTGGGAGGGGGTTTGGAGATAGCATGTCTGGACAATCCTTCCAGTGAATTTTGCTACAAAGTGTTAAAGCAAACTAAATATGGCCTGAGAAGGACTCTGTACTTCTTCATTTGAGTCCTTGTGGGTGAACTGTAACCTACCTTAATAATCAGACAAGATTGAAAACCTAATCTAGTAGTGTGCACCTCTAACAATACTTGAGTGTTGGCCAATCCCAGCAGCCATACTTCAACCACTCACAGACTGCTGACTGTTCAAACTGTTCAAATAAGGCAAACGACCAGTTGTAACCAATCTCACTGTTTCTGTATCCCACTTCCGGTTCCTGTATGTCACTATACCTTTTTTTTTTTGGTCTATAAATTGGTTTTTACTTCGAGGCAACCCCCAGAGCCTCTGTGAATCTGCTGTGATTCTGAAAGCCGCCTGATTCACAAATTGTTCATTGCTCAATTAAACGCCTTTAAATTTAATTCAGCTGAAGTTTTTCTCTTATCAGATGGTGTCAGAAGCAGGATCTGAAGTGGAGCTTCCAGTATCTCCAGGAGCACTGAGTAAACACGAAAGGTACCGGCATGATCCACTGTGTCCATTGATCTCTCAGAGTGGCTGAGGATCATAAGTAAGCTCCCTCTCGCATTTTGGAGCTTCACACATTTGTGTTTTGAGCTCTCTGAGTTGCTTTGAGCAAATTTCTGATCCAAACTGGGTTTGGAGTCACAACGTAAAATGGACTGGGTCTAGGAACGGATGTGGTCTTGGAATTAACCGGCTTGGATCCAGTTAAAGGCCTCTTACATCTCACTGGGTCAGAAAGAACTGGTAGTAAGCAGTAACGTTGTAGGAGTTATAAAATTTGGCGTTTGAAAATTCACAGGGATGTTTGTGTTCTACCCCCTTTGTTTCATTTTTCTTGTGCACCTAGGTGGGAAAAAATCATTGGCTAAGTTAATCAAGAGAAGCTGAGAGTAAACCCAATATTTTAGATAAATATGGGATTCTTCATTCCAGCAGGGAGGAAGGGCATGGGTTTTGGAGTCATTCATATATGGTTTCAAAATCTGACTCTGGCATTTATCTCTGTAAGAATTTGAGAAATTTACTTAGTCTCTCTGAGCTTTGGTGTATTCCAAATGAAGACGACACTAACAGTATCTGCATCATGAGTGCTACTTCAATGGAAATGTATAAAGTGCATTTTACACATTTGTTCTCTTACCATTTTCCCTTCACTTCTTTTCAGAGTTTCTTCTTGAAGGGCTCAAGGACTGAAGCATCCCACAATATGATCCTACTGAATAACTCCCAGAAGCTGCTGGCCCTATACAAATCCCTGGCCAGGAGCATCCCTGTGTCCCTGAAGGTGAGGGAACAATGGGAGTGTCGGATTGCTTTGTGCATGTTTCTTTACCTTTCTGTGCCTTTACCTTTGGTCTTTTCATCAATAAAATGGGAAAAACATTAGCACCTACCTCTTAAAGTTGTTGTGGACACTAAATAAATTCATACATTATAAGTGCTAAGAGCATTGCCAAGTGCCCAGCTAGTGCACAGTAGCTCTTTGGTATCACAAGGACACCTGCCTGTGAGTTCTGCCTGCCTGCTTGTGACTTCACATCCATCAATATGGTCCTGGAGACGCTGCTCATCTCACCTTCACTGTCTTGGTCCCAGTACTGTCTCTTGACCTCCATTTTTCTCTTCCTCTTCACATCCAGATCCCCATCTCTGGGGATCTCAACCTCTCCTATTCCCTTTCATCCCTCTGTCAGGTGTACGGCTCTGTGTATCACATCAATCACAGGAACCCCTTCAACATGGAGGTGTTGGTGGACTCCTGGCCCGACTATCAGATGGTTATTATCCGGCCTCAAAAACAGGTAGGCACACAGACAGGGACTGGTGGATCCAGGCAGGTCCAAAGGGCCTGAGGAACTGACCAGTTCAGACACCAGGGCTGCTTTTATAGGGTGAAAGGAAAAGTGAGTATTTTAAAACACTTCTTCAGTACTTGGCACCTTACATGAGTGCCACATATTCCTATTCTTCCTCTAAAGCATAAAACATTTGAGAAAGGGTTCGAGGGGGAAGGGGAGCAAAAGGACAAGGCTGACACTCACAGATTAAGGGCCCTTTGAGGTGGCAGGGGTTACCTGCAGGGGCTGAATGGAGGCCACTTTACAGGGAAAGTTGGGTGTCTGAGATATCAGAACAGTGACTTAAAAACAAAATCCAAACCAGAAGTCAACCGGTAAAATTACCTCTCAGGGCCAGGCATGGTGTCTTATACCTGTGATCCCAGCACTTTGGGAGGTCAAGGCAGAAGGATTGCTTGAGGCCAGGAGTTTGAGGCCAGCCTGTGCAACATAGTGAGACCTCATCTCTACAAAAAATAAACAAAATTAGCAGGGTGTGGTGGCACCTGCCTATACTCAGACACTCAGGAGACTGTGGTGGGAGGATGGCTTGAGCCCCAGAAGGTCGAGGCTGCAGTGAGCCAAGATCACACCACTGTACTCCAGCCTGGGCAACAGAGTGAGACCCTGTCTTTAAAAAAAGTTACTTCTCAGGAACCAGGGAAGGGTCACAAAATTACTGTGTGTCAACTATGTGGAAGCACTTCACTCATTAGTGACTGTCATCCTCAGAACAATTTTATGAAGTGAGCATTAATATCTTCAATTTAGAGATAAGGAAACCACACTGAGAAATATTAAGTCATGTAACTGCTGGATACCAGATGTTAAAGCATTGCCCAATCTGAATTCAAGTTCAGTGGACTCTGCCACTTTTACTAGCTATATAACCATAGGCCCTTCTCTGAGTTTTATCATCTGTTAAAATGGGAAAAATAAGAGGACCTTCTTCAGAGGATTACTCAAGGTAGTCTCAAGATAAATGAGAAACCATATGTCAAACCCTTAGTACATAGCACATAATTCTAAATAGTATTTGCCATAATTAGCCATTATTGGCTGAGGACACACAAGGAATACACGATTAAGCTGAAATAGTAATACAAACCTAGGTCTATTTTTTTGCCCTAAAGACTTTCCCTTTTTGTGTCTGTTTCATGCACATCTGGTTAGTGAACTGAAGCCTCATGGCCAGCCCAGCTTCATGTGGTTATAGACGCTGAGCCCCCAAATAATAATAAGCTGAGCCTAACACTTTCCCCAGGGACTTCTTTTGATCTCCTGGCTTCCTGACAATGTGGGATCGAAGATTAATGCTTAGTTTATTTAATCCATGGTCCAATTTCTTCAAAGCGTGATATGCTAAATAACTGTACGAAGTCAAATATTTTTACTTCAGTAACTTGGTAGTTGCTATGTGTATTGTAGCAACGTAACTGTACCATTAAACTGTAACTTTATATATGCATTGCTTTGAACAAGGCTAGTTTTTATAAAGTGATTCAATAGGCCGGGCGTGGTGGCTCATGCCTGTAATCCCAGCACTTTGGGAGGCCGAAGAGGGTGGATCACGAGGTCAGGAGATCGAGACCATCCTGGCTAACACAGTGAAACCCCGTCTCTACTAAAGAATACAAAAAATTAGCCGGGCGTAGTGGCGAGCACCTATAGTCCCAGCTACTCGGGAGGCTGAGGCAGGAGAATGGCGTGAACACAGGAGGCAGAGGTTGCAGTGAGCCGAGATTGTGCCACTGAACTCCAGCCTGGGTGACAGATCAAGACTCCGTCTCAAAAAAAAAAAAAAAAAAGTGAGTCAATAAACAAAAATATTAAAATATAAAAGTTCCATGCCACACATATGTGACCAAAAAAATGGAAAGAATGAAGTATGCTGCAATTTACTTGGAAATACATTCATCTAGTCTGATTCCATATTATAACACGTTTCTTTTTGAAAAGTATTGAAAAACGTATTGAAAGTCAATGCGATTTTGAATAAGAACTTTTTAGGGTGAGATGCAGGAGAATTTTTGTAGAAAAAAATTAACTTTTTCTTTGTTGGTTTTTAATCACAAAGATAATATATGCTGATTATACAAGTGGAAAAATCCAGCATGATTTTAAGAATTTAATAACACCTCACCTCCTTTCCCCTCCTCTCCTCCATTTCTAACCCTTGGGGTAATCAGTGTCCTTGCCCATATTAACACACAAACGGATATTCACTTATGATCTCTTCTGTCATACTTTTTAATTTGCCCTTGACATATGGACATTGCTTTGAGTGAATCAATACAGCACTAAAGTATTCGTTTTAATAACTGTGGCATTCCATAGAGTCTATGCAATGCTATTCAGTCAGTCATTCTCCTCCTGTTGGGTTCAAATTGTTCATACTTCTTTGCCACTACAAACAATGCTTCAATAAACATCCTGGTATACATGTCTTGACATCCTGGAAACTTTTCTCCATACAATTGATTTCCAAAAGGGAAACCTTCAAGTCAGAGTTTATCTTATCCTAAGTAGGCACTGCCAGATTACCTTCCCAAAGGATTCCACAGCTTTATTTCCATCAGCAATTTGTGGAAGAATTGTTTCCCACATTCTCACCAGCACTGAATGTTATCCATCTTTTAGTTTATGCCAAACTGGTGGGTGAAAAGTGGCATCTTATTGTAGATTTAATTTGCATTTCCCTGACTAGTGATATTCAACATATATTTTCATATGTTTGTCAGTCATTTGGGGTTTACTTCTAAACTGTTTATATTGTTTGACCATTTTTTTTTTTTTTTTTTTTTTTTTTTTGAGACGGAGTCTCACGCTGTTGCCCAGGCTGGAGTGCAGTGGCGCGATCTCGGCTCACTGCAAGCTCCGCCTCCCGGGTTCCCGCCATTCTCCTGCCTCAGCCTCCTGAGTAGCTGGGACTACAGGCGCCCGCCACCGCGCCCGGCTAATTTTTTGTATTTTTAGTAGAGACGGGGTTTCACTGTTTGACCATTTTTACACAGGAGTTTATGTGTCATTCTTAAAATTCTCTATGTGTTTTGGATACTGGGGATACTAACACAAGGTGTATGCTACAAATTTGTTGTCCAATTTAGAATTAGTTTCTATTTTATTGATAGAGATTTTCACATGAAGAAATTTTTAATTTCATGTAATCAAATATATTATCTTTTTCACTATGATTTCTGAGGCTTTGTTTTTTTCTTTTTTTTTTTTCGTTAATAATTAGGAAGATTTTTCCTAATCTAAGATCATACAAGTTTTTTGTATTTTGTCTTACAGTGAATTAATTTTTACTTTTGACGTTTCAAACTTCATTCTATTTGGAATATATTTTTGAATAGCATGAATTAACATTCTTTTATATTTATCTCCCTTATGGCTGGCTAATTATGTCAGTACTACTAGGTAAATAAATCATTCCACTACTGAAACATAAATGTCTATTTTGTCATATAACACTTTTATATATTTTGTAGCTATTTTTGTATTTGTTTCTAGTCTTTTCTCATGCTATTTCTCTGTTTTGTGGCAAGTTTTAATATCTAATAAAGCAAATCACACTTCACTAATCATTTTCTTACTTTCCTATTTCTTATAAACTTAAGAGCTATATGAACAAAAACTAAATTCTCAGTTCCCCAACTACCCCAACTAACTATTGCAATTGTGACTTGTATTGGAGGAGCTTTTTTAGACAATTGTGGAAGGATTAATATTTTTGTGATACTAAATATTTTTATCAAGAAATATGGTCTTTCTCTCATGTTTTTCACTTTGTGTTCTATGCCATCTGGTAAAATGTTAATGTTTTCCTGTGGTAAACTACGTGATTTCCCATTAAGTTTACCCTCAGATATTTTATAAATTTTTTTAAGATTCTTAAATTATTTTTCCTTTTCTATTTCTGAGGATTATTATTTTCTGATTTCTTTCTATTTATACTCTTGATTTCCAAATATGTCACGCTATTCTTTAAAATCCTGTTTGTTTGTGTGGGGTGTTATTTGTTTTTGTTTTTGTTGAAGTTTCTTGGATTTTCTAAATGTGTAATTTGTAATCTACAAACGAAGTAATTTGCTGCTTCTTTGTCAATATTTGTATGGGTTTTTAGTTTCTTGCCTTATTGCATAATGCACAACCTAAGAAACAATACCAACTAACCATAATAATAGTTCTATCCTTGTCTCATTCCTGATTTTAATGAAATAGCTATAACCACTTACATTTGGAATTGCATTTAATTCTGTCTTTACTAGAGCACTTTACTGTTGTTCCTACTTTCATAGAAATTATATTTAGAATGAAGGGCAAATTTTATGTTATTTCATTTTTGTCTTTTTGTGGCAATTTGTATACTCATGCAATTTTTTTCTCCTTTAATTTATTACACTAAGAGATCTTTTCTGATCAGAGTCATTCTGGCCTTTCTAAAACAAACTGTTCACGTTCACATTCTTTCATATGCTACTGAATATTTTATTCAGAATTTTTGCATCTGTATTCAAAAGCCAATATGGTCAGTAACTCTCTTTTTGTTGTTTCTTTACCAGATTTGGAATTAGGATCTTTTCATCTGTTACCAACGTCTACTATTAAAATTATGTGTTTGGTTTTGGCTTATGTAGAATTTAAATGTAAAATAATCTGATTTTGGCTACTTTTTATTTTTTAATTTCAACTTTCCTTTTAGATAAAGTGGGTACATATGCAGATTTGTTACATGTGAATATTGCATGATGCTGAGTCTTGGAGTACAGACAAATCCCATCACCCTGGTAGTGAGCATAGTACCCAATAGGTAGTTTTCTAAGCCAGGCCCTTTCCCTCCACCCTGTAGAGTCCACAATGTCTATTGTTCCAACATTTGTGTCCATGTATGGTCAATGCTTAGCTCCCAGTTATGAGTGAGAACATGTGACATTTGATTTTCCGTTACAGCATTAATTTGCTTAGGATTATCGCACTGTGGAGAGTAGTCTGGAAATGTCTTAGAGAACTTAAAACAGAGTTGCCATTCAACCCAGCAATGCCATTACTAGATAAATACCCAAAAGAAAATGAATCATTCTACCAAAATGACACACGCACTAGTATGTTCATGCTGCACTGTTCACAATAGCAAAGACGTGGAATCAACCCAGGTACCCATCAAAGGTAGACTGGATTAAAAAAAAAAAAAACTTGGTATGTATATTCCTATGGAATATTACACAGCAATAGAAAAGATAAAATATTGTCCTTTGTAGCAACATGGAGGGAGATGGAGGCCATCATTATTGTTCACTTTTCAAATGGTAGTTGTTTAATTCAATTTCTGATATTTTCTATTAGTTTGTTGAAGTTTTCTATTTTGTGAAAGTCAGTTTTGATAGTTTATTCTTGAGGGATAACATCCATTTCTTTATCAGTAAATATGTTGCCTTGGAGTAGTATATAATCTGCTATTATAAGTCTTCTTTTCTTTTCTATTTCCGTTCTCAGAGCTCATACGCTATGCCTTTTTTTTTCTTTTTTCTCTTTCTCATGTATTTCCTTCGAAACCCTTACCAGAAGTTTCTCTCTCTCTCTCTTCTCTTTCTATTTTTGCCAATTAAAAATGAAGTTTTGGCTTTATATATCCTTTGCACTCTGTCTTGTTCTACAATTCATTAATTATGGCTTTCATTTTTACAAATTGTTCCATTTGCTATTTTCTAGTTTGATATTCTTTTTATAATTTCTTGACTACCTACTTGGCTATTTTCAGTCATTCTTTTAAAATTGGGTCTTTTAAAACATCTACTCTTGTAAATTCACTGAGGTGTCGGTCTTGGCCATATTCAGGAACTTGTATTTATAAAAGCACCCTCAAATTCTTGAAGGTTTCTTTAAAATTACATACACTATCTTCCATTTTACTCTTAAAAATATAATTTTCAACATTATATTAATACATTCACTGCTAAAACTCTCACACTTATTATTTATATTTCCCCAGAGAAACAGATACTCATCGTCCCATGAAGTTTGTGGCTTGCCAGAATGGGATCACGAGTCTCTTTCTTTCAAACCCATGAGTCTAACACCACCTAAATTATGCAGAGTGCTACCAAAAATTCAGTTACTTCATTCTATTTTGTGGGCTTCTGGCTGTAAAGGCAATGTCACTCTTCGAATAGGTTGATATCTTGTAGCCTTAGGAAAAGGCAATGTCTCCTTAATGTCTATATTCACTAAAGTATCTTGCTCAAGCCCTGGACACTGTAGATTCTAGGACACTATAGATTCTAGGTGTCTGGTGATACAGTAGGCACTAAAACTTAGAGAATTCACAGTTAAATTTATTCTGATCCAAGTTTAAGGACTTAATCCTAGCAACACAGACTCAGTACAACCCAGAATATGTCCCACAGGAGGTTACATGGGGCACAGTATATATAGCAGGGGGGTACGCATGGCAAACGGGGTAAGTGAAGCAGGGAGAGAAGGAATTGTTGCATTCCTTTGATTCTGCTGGGTTCTCGGTGATGCTATATATAAAATAAGGTAAGTGTGCAGTTGAGTGGGTAGGAAGAAAGGTGAGGTATATAAGGCCTGGTGGAGGGTGACTGCTTTCATCCTGTTTTTGTTATGCATCTGATAAGCAGGTTTATAACCAGTACCTGTCAGTGTTAAATATTTAACAAACTCCAGTTACACAGTTAAGAGGTCAGCAGTAGCTTATAGGCCTGGGTTTTATTATCCGTGTGCCCAACTGCAGCCATCATGGGCCAGTGTTAAAAATTTCCTTTCAATTTTCATTTTTCTGAGAATTACAATCAGCGAGAGGTGAAGAAAAAGTTCAAGGGAATGATCTGACCTCTCACCATCCTATACAGGAGATGACAGACGACATGGATTCATACACAAACATATATCGTATATTCTCCAAAGAGCCTCAAAAATCACAAGACGTTTTGAAAAATTGTGAGATCATAAACTGGAAACAGAGACTCCGAATCCAAGGTAATGGGTCTGAAGAAATGGGCAACCAGCAGTGCTTCTCAAATTGTGTCTTCAACGAATAGCATTAGCATCACCTGAGAGCTCATTAGAAGTATAAACTCACAGAAACTCTGTGGGATGGGAGAGGTAGAGTAATCTGTGGTGTGACAAGGACTCCTGATTGTGGTGTAAACTCAAGTCTGAGAACTACTAAGCACTGAGGTTTAATCAGGTGGGAGCAGTATAAGTAGAGAACTCCATGTCTGACAATATTGCTTTCTTGCCTTTCTTCCCAGGTCTTCAAGAAAGTTCGGGTGAGGAGAAAAGAGCGGCTGCATTTTCAAATTCAGTGAAGGTAGAGCATTCAAGAGCAGGCCTCTTTATTACAGAAAATTTCCTGAAACTCCATGCCTCCAATAAAAGCAAGCTTGGAAGCTGGGCAGAGACAGGCCAACCAGATGATGAATTTGAGAGGTACAAAAATCATGTGCTGATCATTTATAATTGCCATTCCTTGTACATTTTTGTAACTCACATAAATCAGTTTTGGAGTGAAGAGAGTATGAATCCATTGCTTGGGATGAATAAAGGTTATCAATGGTCAAAATACGCAACTTTGCACTGGTGGGTCTTTAAACAAGAAGAGGGCCTGGGATCTCTAGAATAGAATGGTACCCAGAAATTACAAGAGTGGGGATGAAAGTTATTGTCTTTCTTTATGTTTTCTACAGGAAAACTCCCAACTTTAATTATGCCCAGCTGGATATTTCTTATTCCGGGCTGGTAAATGACAATTGGAAGCAAGGGAAGAATGAGAGGAGCCTGCGTTACATCAAGCGCTGCATAGAAGTCCTGCCAGCAGCCTGTGTGCTCGGCCCAGAGGGGACCCCAATCTCATGGATAACCATGGACCCTTCTTGTGAAGTAGGAATGGGCTACTGCATGGAAAAATACCGAAAAAAAGGCAACATGGCACAGCTGCTGGTGCGACACCAGAAGTATCTGTGTCAGAAGAATATACCATTTTACGTCTCTGTACTGGAAGACAATAAAGACTCCCACAGATCAGTGGGGTTGGCGGGTTACTTTGAGGCCCCCTGTGAGTGGCACCAATGGACCTGCTACCCACAGAATCTAGTTCCATTTTAGACAATGAAGCTGCTTAGCAATCTTGGGCAAGCCATCTCTTAATATTAAAGCTTTCTTCACTTACAAATGTTGATTGGGCATTTATGATACGGCAGGAACTCTCTCACATGGAGACTTGATATTAAAAGACACAGCCGTGCTCTTGAGGAGCTCACAATCCAGGCTGGAGGCAGGGGAGGGTATAGTCTTTAAATATGCTTAAGCGTTGTAGGGAAGGACGGGGTTACCAGTAAACATGTCACCAGAAAGCCAGGCTCAGTTCTTACCTCTGGGAATCAGAACTCTTTATGTAACTTGGTTGATAGAATCTACTATCTGGAAGATAAATGAAGAACTTTAATAAAATTGTCAATAGAATATACCTAATCTATATGGATACTTTATTGGAAATAAATAGCCCTGCTATGTATGGATTTATGAGGCAATGGTACACTAAAGAATGGAATCTGTCTCTTAGTTTAGTAACTAGTAAAGTATCAAAGGTGAAGCCTCAGACAAATTGCTTTCCCAGGCTACCTTTCATCATTGTTATGCAGAATAGGATCTCCAGAGAATCAAGTGGGCTGGCCTTGAGGCCTCTGCGATGGAAATGACATTTGTTTTGCCTCCTTTCTCCTACTCTTTCTCATTTCCTCATCATTAGTGAAGCACGGCACAGGACAAGGTGTTGCCTGTGAGTCTGGTTATAAGTTCAGCTTTTGGTATTTGCAGCACTGCTATCTTAAGGGGTCACGGGCATTCCGGGGAGAAGTGACCACTAAGATGAAGACTGGAGAGTGAGTAAGAGTGAGCCAGATAAAAAAATCAGAAAAATCCAGATGATGGATAGGACACGTGCCATGCACTAGCATAATAACTTTCTAACTGAACACTTATATTAAAATTTCTGAATCCCTGATCTAAAAAAAAAAAGAAATACACTTCACAAAAAAGCCATGGCCTCATTCGGCTTTGCTCTCTGACCCTGTTATGGGAACTTGGATTGCTATGAACATTGCAGCTATAGGAAAAAGAAAAAAAAAATTGGCATTTTCACTCTTTCTGATTGTCTAGATTTAAAAAACAAATGAAATCTTGATAGAATTGTCTTTTGTAATAAAGTGTAGCAGTATTAGCCAATACCTATCCTCATCTCTCCTTAAAAAATTAACCTCTACACAATTGAATGTTTACACTTGATGCGCTTTGAAAGTGTGCAATTCCAGCACCTAAAGAATTGTGTAGGTCATGGAGTTTTTAAAAAACTCCAATTCATCTTGGAAGGCTGTGGTAGATCTGTTACAGCTTAGTATGAATCAATCCAATCAGATTTCTAAACTCCTAAGACCTAGCTGAAATGTTACATTGACTGAAATGAAAGCATGGTCTGAGAAAGAGAGGAAACATGTCATTTGGGATTTCAAAGGGTGGAAAATTCTCACACAAAAACTCAAGAACTTGGGGAAATATATAAACAGCTATATTTTGGCACTTAAGAGGCAAAAGCTAATACAGATGACGAAAGAACACAAAGGAAATAAAATTTGCCTATTTCAAAATGTTGCCTCCAGCATGTCCTGTGTCCAGAAGAGGTTGTACATCTGGGGTCTGGGGCTCAGGTCATCTTAGCACAGCCCAGCTGGCAACTTCCCTCCTCTGCCTCTTCCCTGAATGCAAGCCAGCTTCCCTTACCTAGCCCTTCATGGTCCTGTTAAGATAGTGATTCCTAAACCTTATCATGCACTTGGATTAAAAAAACAAAGTGTGGGAAAGAGGAAAGAGGAGTTCTTAAATATGGCACAAATAAGTTCAAAAGTATTAATAAACACACTAAAAATGAATGGGGTAATTTTCTTATTAAAATATATGTTTTTCATACTGAGTTAAAAACAACGTCCAAGAACATGCATTAATCAGCTCTGGCTGTCATAACAAAATTTCATAGACTGAGTGGCTTATATAACAGAAATTGATCTCTCACTCTTCTGGAAACTGGGAAGCTATATGACAAGGCTCTAGTGAGGTAAGTTGCCTTCTGAGTCCTCTTCTCTCAGGTTGTTGATGGCTGTTATCTCTCTGTGCCCTCCCATAGTGGAGACAGAGGAGAACTCAGACTCTCTTCCTTTTCTTAGAAGGACTTAATTCCATCATGGGGGCTCCACCCTCATGACTTAATCTAAACCCAATTACTTCTCAAAGGCCCACCTCCAAGTGCATTGGGAGTTGGGTCTTCAACATATGAATTTGGGGGTCACTGTCAGTACATAAGTAAGCATATCTGAAATAACACACTAGGGTTCATGCAAAGGAAAAAGATACACTAAATAAATGTGAAATTGAAAAGCAAAGAAATACCATCAATACTAGGCAAAATAGAACGTAAGATGAACATCTGCTAAATACAGAATTCTCCCACAACATAGATCATGAATCTGCCTCACAACACAACGCAACTACAAAATATATATGGCAAAAACTGACAGACATACAAAAAGAAAAATGCAAATCCACAGTCTTAGTGGGAGAACTCAAAAAACTTCCCTCAGAAAGCAACAAATGATGCAGACTAAATATAACGACAATTTGAAAAAATGCCATCCCAACTTGATATTTCTGGTGATATTGGGGCTGTTTATTGTGTATTTGAGAACTTCTGTTCATCTGTTTGTCAAATTGACCAGCAGGGGGTGCTGGGGAGAGAACCACTCCATCAGGAGAGCGCTGACTTGTCTCTAAGCCTAGAGGCTCCTGTTCCCCCTCATGATCATCACCTATCAGGGGCAAGCACTGCTGATACAGGAGTTAAAAGAAATTATTAAGCAGTTAGTGTAGGTAAAGGAGCCCTCGGTAAGGGTTTTCTTTTAATGAAAAAGCAGCCCCCATATACTTTCTTTTCTAACAAAAATCAGCCTGAAAAATCAAGCCACAAGCACAGATAAGCAAGCTAAAAGCTTGCATAGTTAAATGCCGGCGCCTATAAATAGAAAAGGGGTACCTGGAAGCCAGGCATACTCAACATGGAGGCTTCCTCTTCCATTTTTGTTGTTGTTGTTTTGTTTGTTTTGTTTTGGTTTTGTTTTTTTGGGTTTTTTTTTTCAGACGGAATCTCGCTCTGTCGCCCAGGCTGGAGTGCCGTGGCGCGTTCTCAGCTCACTGCCAGCTCCGCCTCCCGGGTTCAAGCAATTCTCTGCCTCAGCCTCTTGAGTAGCTGAGATTACAGGTGCCCACCACCACGCACGGCTAATTTTGTTGTTTGTTTGTTTCTTTTGTTTTTTTAGTAGAGGCAGAGTTTCACCATGTTGGTCAGGCTGGTCTTGAACTCCTGACCTCTCATGATTCACCGTCCTTGACCTCTGAAAGTGCTAGGATTACAGGCATGAGCTATGGCACCTGGCCTCCTAGTCCCTTTTCTTTGTCTTCACGTGTGCAGGCGACATGGCACAGGCCAGGTAGAGGCCCCATCTGCATACTAAAGATTAGTGTGGGATGGCCAGCCTCTTCATGTATCGCATCAATAGCACACCTGCTCCAACCAATCCTCTCAGCCCTATGTAAATCAGACACTGCCTCCTCAAGCTGATCTATAAAACCAACCACAACTTGCCCCATACCCGGAAACCTGCTCAGACACCCTTCCAATGCACAAGGAAACTCTCTCTCTTTTGCCTATTAAACTTTCGCTCTTAAACCCACTCCTTTTGTGTCCACATGTTCAATTTCCATAGTGTGAGATAACAAACCTCTGGCACTTCCCCAGACAAACGATGCCGCTTCACTGTCATCTCAAGCCCAAGTGCCAAAAACGACCCCTTTAGCCTGATGAATGCCACGGCTGCCACCATGCTGCTTAGGATAAGCAAGGACACGAAGATGGAGTGGGGACGGGTTTATTAGAGAGGCCGCAATAAAAGCACATTCCAGGCAACTTTCTACTTTTTAACTTCTGTCGCTTTCAAACTTAAAGGTGTTTTTTATTTCTCTTGTTTTGTTTTTCTTTTTAACAGTTTCTATTTTTGGCCAAAAGACTGCTCTTTGTTTTCCTGCTATGACTTATTTATTGTTTGTTCTAAAGTCTTTTCCATGATTTTGTATAGGAAATAAGAAGACAGCCATGTGTTTGCTCAACACATTGATCCTCTCTCCACCTAGAATTCAAGATTCCACCCCTCCTGATCTGCCAGTTTCCTCATATTTGCCTCATACCATTGACCTTGTTGACAGATGAACCCGGGCCAGTTCTACTTTACTATGGACACCAACTCCTCTGAAATAGCATCTGAGTCTTGGGATTTGCATATAAATCTTCCCTTGACACAGAAAACAGTCTTTCCTTTTACCTTTACTAGAGGCATCCACTTGGGAGAATGGACAGCACTAAAATTACCCAGACTTCAAAACCAACCTGCTGTGCCTTTCTAGAGTCCTTGGAATGAAGACGAGAAAATAGGTTACAAGGGATATTTTATTCTTCATTCCTCACCCTGAAGGAGCTCCTATTTTTAAAGGGATACACTGGGGACAGTCCAAAAGAAACTCTTGCAAATCGAGCTTTGCCATGCCACCACAAGAAGGGTAACCTGTGTGCCCAGGGGTGAAATTTTTAAGTTTTAGTAATAACGTCCAGGGTCACCCCTGTGGATAAAAAAAATATTTAAAAACCTATGAGGGTGCCAAACTTTCAGAACCGTGTCTCTTCACAAGGACCTACCAAGGCCTAGAGATCATAGCACCTCACTAGCAGCCTACAGCCATTCTCCAAAGGTTCCCATCTGCCCCACCCAACACACACACACACACACACACACACACACACACACACCCTTCTGCTATCCTTTGGCCCTAGATTTCACCTAACTTTGTTCTAAATCTTGATCTCCCTGTGCCCCCAAACTCATGTGGTATAGGGCCTTGGTAATCCCCTTGTAAGCATATTACCTGACTTCTTAAAAACTATTTATGAGACAAATATCTAAGGTAAAACTTTATATTTCAGGCCAGATCAGCACTCTTCTTATTATTATTACAAACACTGAACTTCTTAGTTGCTGAGAAAATATATTGAAAAAGAATTATTATGCTTGTATAGCCATAGATTATCTATGGAAAAGGACTGAGTGTCTCGAGAATGAGTGAAAATTGTTTCCCCTATATATACTTTGTTTCTTTTGAAAATTATGTCCTATGTATATTCCAAAGATAATGTTTTTCAAAAAGGGAAATTGCCTCCACTGTGGACCCTTATTACTTTGCTTATCCATCAAGTTCTCTTATTAACTGACTTATCCATCATAATCCCTTACTATCTTTTTATTCACTCACTAGTGTTTGTTTCTAGTGCTCATAATTGAACACAAATTTCTTTACTATTATATAAAATAAAGT